GTTTCCGAAACGTCGTGTCCTCTATTACCTAGTATTCCGGATGATGGAAAAAGTCCAAAAACCTAATAATTCTACAAGAGCTAATGTTAAAAATCCCTAAATATTTTTATTGTGCAGTGAACAAACAACTGAAATTAGAATTCCCTTTCATTTAATATTTTTCTTCACTACATCTGATTCAGAAGATATCTCCTGAACTTTTATATTTCTTTTGGTTGTGTTACAGTTCCATAATTGTTTCATCCATTACGGAGCAAACATATGAAATGCATCCTTCAATATAGTTCTTATTTCTTTAAGAAACCTCTTTTATTCTGTCCGCTGAAATATTCCTCAATTTCTACCAACGATCTCCCCTCCATCCGGGGCATTCTGTAGTACACAAATATAAACCCAATTGCATTGACAGCGGCGAAGAGGAAGAAGACGCCGTGGAGGTTCAGGCTCTCTTCCATGTCCAGATAAGTCTTGGAGGCCACGAAAAGGAAGATGTAGCACATGGCTGCCGAGAAGCCGCTGGCCATTCCTCGAGTCCTGCGAGACAGAAGTCAGCTTCAGGTTCAAGAAGAACAGAGCCAAAATCACGTACGATTATATCAGATACACCCAAATCCATATTTTCTGGATTCGGTAGACAGAGATCAGATAGACGTGCGAATATGTAATTATGGAGTATAACACAGTGAAATATGTCACCAATTCACCAGTTTCACAGTGTTCATAGCTAATCAAGGAATTCTCAGTTTCTGTGGTGCTAGAACGTACTTGAACTGACCAGCAATGTCTTGCAAAAAGAGTTTCTGAGTGGGCCCTTGGCACCTGGCTAAAGGTAAACCACCAGAAAGACAATCAGTCCATTCCTGGTTCCTTTGGAAGCCCTTTGCTGTTAAATTTGATTAGTGACTGGATCGTTAGTAGGGGACGCCTATTCCAACCGAGACTGGTAAATAGTTCTGTGTGTGAAAGGGACACGATAAGGCAGAAACAACCTCACATGTGTGTGGCTAAGAGGTTCGCGTATATATATATATGCATTTGCTTGTGAGGCTCTAGTTGACTTACATAATTGTGACTGTGAGTTTCTAGATGACATATGTAACTGTGAATTTCCAGCTAAATTACACTCATGTATCCATGGGTTTCTAGCTGAATTACGTTTTCTTCACCTGGGAACTCGCTCCAAGAAATGCAGTGGCTACTGTAAAGTTCACTTAACACAGGCACTGCGCTTCACCAGACAAACAGGTCTGCTCGAGGACTAAATATTAGAAACTGGAGACACAGTAGATCGACGACTCTAGTGGTGTAGAATTTGGTTAATCTAAAATAATCTAATCCAATCAACTCCAACGCGATCTAATCTAATCCAGTCCAATCTAATAGTCTAATCTAAGTTTTAAACTGTACTTGTCACAACATTTCCAGTCTTTACTTATCCCGCAGAATAGCGGCCTCCGTAGTCTAGAGGTAACGTTCCCACCTCATGACTCGTGGTACGCGGGTTCAAATACCCGTCGGAGGTCGTCGAATTTTTAAGGGCGGAAAAATTCAGGGAACAAGTCCTCCGGAGGGACTTTAAGCTGTGTGTCCCGTGTCGTAACTTTACGGTACGTAAAAGAACCTCATATCCCCAAAGGGGATCACTGAGCCAAATTCCAGGACGTTTCCCGCCCAACAATAGTCTCTAAGGCCTCTGATAGATGGGGGAAGCATTATAGATACCGCTAAGCAAGTGGCCGAACTCGCTTGCTCGGCGGGACTGATGGTACGCACCATTTATCGGTAGGGTATAGAGACTGGTAGAATATCATAGATGGAAGCACAATAGATCAAAACTGGTCGCGGTGCATGGGGAAACCCACCCTCTCTAAATAACTAACTAACTAACTAAATAACTAACTATCCCGCAGAATGAGAAACCACATTCCTCACAAACAGACAATATTTTCTTCAAGCATCCTGCTGCTTTAGTATATTCTTCACAAACTGTATTACTGCACTGTGAACGGAAATACGTAGTACAGTATGTGAACAAATAGAGAAATGAATTATTTGTGAAAACATTGTAGCTTGATTGTTAGTTTACTTAATGATGATTCTTACCGTCCCCCCTCTGTGTAACCTCAAGCCACACCGGTTGGTCGCTACTCTTTACCTTCCTTCCTTCCTTTCTTT